CCAAGTCACTGAGTTCAGACTCTTCTTTGCTGTTCTAGCTATGCCTCTTGTTAAGAAAAAGAGGGTAACCCACTGGTTAAAGTACTTGAAGTAGGAGTATAGAAACCTAATGTCATGAAATGTTAAAAAATGTTAAAAATGCTTGAAATGCATTGTTTTTTCCCCATCAGTTCTGTTCCTACTGACTTATTTTTTTTCTTCAAAATATGGTCCCAAAGTTTCCTTTTCCTGGAACAGGAAGCATTCCTAAGTATTCCAAGGCTGAATTAGTAACTCTCCTCTTTGCTCACAAAGCACTGTCCACATTCCTGCACAATATGCTTATCATATTTTATTATAATTATTCAGTTATCCATCTGCTCTCCTCCCTCCCATCTACTGGATTTCCAGAAGCAGCAATGGTATCTTCTTGGACTTCACTCTCTAGCACTTGACAGAGAGTCTGGCACTGTGTATGCCCTCAGTGTTTATGAATTAATGAGTCAACCAACCACTCTCTCATAGGCTTGCACCTCAGTGAATCTGAGGCTTTCTGGGACATAAAAATCATCTGAAGTTCCTGATTAAAATTTATTTTTCCAGGCCACACCGTGAGACATGCTGATTCAAGACTGGGATGGGGTCTAAGAATCTGCATTTTTATTAAGCAGCTGATGATTTGGTGCAAATGGTCCATGCTGTGAACTGTGCTTAGTCGCTCAGTCGTGTCCAACTCTCTGTGACCCCATGGACTGTGGCCAGCCAGGCTCTTCTGTCCATGGGGATTCTCCAGGCAAGAATACTAGAGTGGGGTTGCCATGCCTTCCTCCAGGGGATCTTCCCAACCCAGGGATCAAACCATGTAGGTCACATTTAACAAGCTCTGCTCAATCATTAATTCTGCTGATACTCAGTCCCAACTGTATGTAACACAACAATGTGTCAATCTGAATAAAAGCATGCAGCTTTGCTACCCACTTGATTTTACCATTCTGACCCCAGAGCAGGGGTATTGATTGATATTGTGGAAATAAAGAATATAATATTTATAAAGCAGTTCAACATATTAGAAGAAAGGTATCTTAGCTCATCAAGGAAATATGATATAAATCTAGCATCTTAAAAATTATCTTAGACATATTGAATTTGATCTGAGTCTAAAATGCAGAGGAAATAAAGCCCCGACATAATACCTAGATGGACACCATACCTGTATGAGCTCTTTCCTTGGTTAGGTTCTCTTATTTTTGTTCCATATTAGTGAATGTAATAGCTAATGTTTACATAATTTTTAAAAAATCCCCAGTAGTGCATCTATGCCTGCATGACACTTTATATGTACCTACTCTTTTTTTAAATGATGACCTTAAGCAACTTTACAGGAGAAAAAGCTGAATTGGGGTAGTTATTAAACTCCTTTTATAAGTACCAAAAAGATTTCTGAACATTTTGGGATATTAATTTATACACATGTTGTTGAATATTTGTATTCAGTTCCTCATGTTACTTTTTACTTGTAACTTATGTCTTTATGCACATTTCTATACAAATATTTAAATGGTAAAATAATAATTCATGTATTTTATGCTGTTACACAGTCAGTGTTCACCCTAATGTTCTCCCCAGTAATGTTGGTTATTTTCAATTATTTGCTATCATATACAGAGTTCTTATGCTTATTTTTGTTCAAATTATATTTTTGTATGAATTCCAGGGAGTATGTTCCCTAGGTGAGATTGGTTAGATGAAAGAGTAACAAGTTTTAGAGCTCTTGTCACCTATTAAAGTATTATCTTCCATAGACACTGAACCAATATAGAACCCACAGGGGTTTTCCCATAGCTTGACCAACATATAATATTATTATCCCAGCTTCTTTTTGCTAGTTTAAATGTGCATAGGACCCCTCCAGAACTGTTTTATTTGGAAGTTCTTTAAGTGAACATGAAGCAATTCCTTTCTGTGTGGGAAAATTCACTGTTATAGTTTTAAGGACAAACAGTTTATCTCCTTATTTGACAGTTTTGAAGGGACAGGTTTAATTGCCTTTTGTAGAGACAGGAAATAGGATTCGGGCAGGTTTGATGTGTCAGGGAACAAGATCAGTTGTGTAGCTCTGATGTGGAGGATTGCAACAGGAACACCAGCTGTTCATGTAGGGTCAGGGAGCAAGAACATTGTGATGGCATGATGAAAAAATTATTGGGCCTGTGTTGGACAACCAGTTTTACTTCAAAATCAAAGCAAGAAACTGCCCCTCCCACCATTGTACAATTCTCTCACAATGCCACTTTCTTTCATGAAGGTTTTCAGATATTCAGGTAGACCTCTCTGGTCTCTGACAGGAAGGACTTTAGAAGGCCAGAAAACTAAAACTCATTTTTTGAGAAGCCTTGTGGGGGAGGATCTGGAAGCAGAAGTCACGGGGTCGGTTTGTCAGTCTTACGTGTGAAAAGCCAGCTCGGTCACAGAAAAGGACCTTTGCTTAGTTCTCGCCACCCTTCGTGACTATGGTCACCTTCTGAAATAAGCAAATAAGTGATTGCTCTACTGCTTTGGGTCCCTGTGGTGCCCAAAACAAGATGCAGTGTTGTTTATGAAAGATGGGCCTTTTGTTTTGGATAGGAGTCTTGCCTCTTGATTTTTTTAGAAATTGGTGACTGTTGAATTTGGTATGAAAACCAACCTATTGAGCACTGTAGATCAAAATCTGAAAGTTTTCCTCCATTCTTGGTTATCATGCTAAATCCTTGGCTTCACTCTTGTCTCTGTAGAACTCTCTCTCTCTCACACACACACACACACACACACACACACATACTTGTATCTGTTATCTTTCATCTTTATTTAGAAATTATTCAGATGCCACACAATTCATACATTTAACATGTATGAGTCACTTGTTTTCAGTATATTCACAGAGTTGAGTGTCCATCACCACAATTAATTTTAGAACATTTTCATCACCCCTAAAAGAAACCCCATTCCCAATAGCAGTCACTCCCCATTTGTCTTCAATCCTCCCAGCTCTAGGCACTCATCTATTTTCTGTCTCTATGGACTTGCTTATTATGAACATTTCATATAAAAAGTTATACTATATGTAGTCTTTTGCTTTAGCTTCTTTGACTGAATGTAATGTTTTCAAGGTTCATCCATATTGTGGTATATATCAGTACTTTTTTTTATTGCTGAATAATATTCCATGCATGATATACCACCTTTTGTCTTTCCATTCATCATTCAGGATTCCGGAAAGGAGAGAGAATTGTCTTGTATTGGGTTACATGTCTATTGATTTGTAGTTGTACCTGTACAACATGAGGGTGTCAACCCTGAAAGGAAATTGAGGCACTCTTGGGTTGGGAAAATGGATGCCACAGGTGGGATCAGGACAAGTTTCCTGCCTCTGTAGATGCACCACACTGCTAAGATTAGATGCACCACACTGCTAAGATTGGGACCCAACCAGATCATGTCAGAAACGTCATCATGCAGGAAAATTAATAATTATGTCCTAGCATACTTTATAATGGAGAAAATATAATAGGATTTATTTATAATATTTAAATATTTTAAGTTATAATTTTCTAAGTGTATAAATCTCTATGTTGGATGTATAGCATGTTTCAAATATAGGGTTTCATTTGGTCCTAAATAATGTTAGTTTCTAGTTATTTTCTATAGTGGCCTTATTGTGGTTTAAATACACTTTTGTGAACTAGCCTTAGAATCCACCCACCAAAGACTGACAATGAGAAAATGTGTTCCAAGTTACAAATGACTAATGAATGAACGCTTTGACTTTTCCCACGCATAAGTCAAGTTGCTCAAAACTTCCCCAGTGATTAAGAATCTGCCTTGCAATGCAGGGAACACAGGTTTGATCTCTGATCCAGGAACTAAGATCCCAAAATGCCCAGGAGGGGCAGCTAAGCCGCAAAAAGAGAAACCAAATACACAACGAAGATGCCTCATGCTGCAGCTAAGACCAGACACAAATACATATTCTTAAAAGGAAGAAAATAATTTCCTTAATCTGATAATAATAATAATAATAATAATAATAAAAGAAAGCCAACCTGCTCATTGTCTGGGATATTGCTGGTTGGTGCCACCCGCGGGCAGGTGTGGATGATGGAGCGGGACTCTCCCGCGCTCCTTCGGGCTGCAGGAATGTTGTCTGAGGGCTCACAAGGATCACTTCCACTGACATGAAGGATCACTCACTTGGAGTGGTTTGGAACAAATACAGCCCTTTCAATTCCAGGTAGCACCTAAGGTGCCTGCAGGGAAGTAGAGGTGTCCATAAAGCAGTTCTCTGGCATCTTCCATGATAGCAAGCAGCGACAGGAAGTGCTCCACCGCTGAAAGGAGAGTGACTGGTCCAAACTGGCGGCTCTGGGCTTAAAGGACTGTCGTCAGAGGCCAGGTGTCCTCGCACGGAGACGGTGCCTCTGAATGGCCTGGGAAGAAGGAGCCAAGCACCCTGGGTCTTTTGCTTGGACTCCAAGCTTTTTTTCCTTCTTGTGCTGTCGTCCTTCAGCGCGTGCCTGCCTGCTGAGTCGCTTCAGCAGGGTCCCGCTCTTGGCGACTCTTTGGGCTGCAGCCCACCAGGCTCCTCTGTCCATGGGATTCTCCAGGCAAGGATACTAGAGTGGGTTGCCATGTCCTCCTCCAGGGGATCTTCCCGACCCAGGGATCCAACCAGGGTCTCTTACATCTCCCACATTGGTAGGCGGGTTCTCTACCACTAGCACACCTGAGAAGCCATCATCCTTGCAGTGTTGGGCAAGTGCCCTGTCTGCAGGCCTCCTGGCTTCTGTGAACTTCTCAAGGGAGTATATGATCACCCTAAAGCTCTAGTGTCCACCCAGAGGCCACTGAGGACATTTTAGTAAGTTCTGCCAGTCACCCAGCTAAGGAATCAGTTTTCTAATGTGATATCAGAGATTGTATCTAAAACTGCAGTGATGCTTTAAAATAACCACTTCATTTAGATTTTTCTGTTTTAACCCAAGGTATTCTTCTGCGGAAATAAGGAAACAGTTTACCCTCCCACCAAACCTTGGCCAGTACCATCGACAAAGCATAAGTACCTCTGGCTTCCCCTCTCTTCAGCTAGTAAGTATGAGTTACAGGTTTGCTTAGAGACTGATCAAGGGCAGACGTGCCCAGCTTACGCTTATGCCTCCTGAGTCTCCTAAGATCTTCCCACCTCTACCTTATATCACCAACCACCAGTTCCTAGTCCTGCATCTATTTTTTGACATCAGTTTCCCTCTCTCCCTTGTTCTGCGTGCATGCCAGTCGTTTCAGTCATGTCTGACTCTTTGCGACTCTATGGACTGTAACCTTCCAGGCTCCTCTGTCAATGGGATTCTCCAGGCAAGCATACATGAGTGGGTCACCATGCCCTCCGCCAAGGGATCTGCCCAATCCAGGGATCCAACTCGAGCCTCCTGCAGCTCCTGCATTGCAGGTGGGTTCTTCACTGCTGAACCACAGGGAAGCCCCTCCTTCCATCAACTAGGGCTTAAAGTGCAAAGCAAGCCTGATTCTGAAGTTTCTGGACTCAGTGGACTTCCCATGCTACTTGCTTTCACCCAAATTATGATTCACGTTTTGGGGAAGGAAAAGATTAGCCCGGAAACTTAATCACCATTTGTAACATGCTTTTATCAGGGAAAAAAAAATTATTCCAAAATCTGAAAAGTCAAGTTATGAACCTTAAGCTTTTAAAGTAATTTTGGGAAATAATTTTATTGTAATTTACTTACAATAAATTCACTCATTTGAAGGTGTACAGTTTGAGGAATTTGGCCAGTTTATAGTTAATTTGTAGAGTCAAGGTACAGAATGTTTTACCCTAAATAGCCTCGCCATGCCCCTTTTTGTGGGTCTTCCCTTGCAGTCCCCAGCCAGCAGCAGTAGGCAATCACCAATCCACTTCTGTCATCATAATTTTGCTTTCTCTGGAACTTGGTATCATTGGAATCAGACAGTATGAACCTTAATTTTTAAAACACACCCCCCACCACCTTTTAAGTTGAGGATTGCCTGCATTTTTATACTAACACCAGTTGTTGAGAGTGTGTATATATGTTATATTATTTGAGGACTAAATGCCAGACGTGACAAGTGGGTTAAATCTGACTTAAATGAGTTGGTTGGTAAAACCAGAAGTGTCTTCACTTCCTTTGTGAGAGAGCTGCAGCCTCCACCGTACTCACTTCCTCACACACAGCACGGCCCCACTTTCTGGCTTGTGCTAGTGGTTATCTTGAGGAGGTTAGGTTATTTTTTCTTTCTCACTTATTACTTCAAAACCACTTCTGCTCTTAGAAATTTTGTAACCTGCCACTCAGTTTCCTGTAGCCGCCATTTTGTCTCCTGTAGCAATTTCCACGCCGTGTAACTGTGTATCTTTCAAAGGTATGTTTGCTGGAGTGATTTGTGATTCTTTGAGGTGGATAATTTGTGGGTTATGTCACTGATGAAATAGTAGTACTAAAAAATGTATAGCACCTTTTACTGCAAAAGATAATTTGCAATGAGAGTGTTTTAAAAAAAAATCTATTTATGACTTCGGTAGCATGTTCAACTGCCCTTTTTATTTGTACTTTTTCTCTCTGTTTCAAAGTCACAGATTATAATAAAAGCATATCAAGTGCATAACATCCATGATGTATTAGATACACTTTAAGATAAATTTGGTATGCTTTTTGGTTTCATTGGTGCTGATATATATTTCATTGAAAACAATTTTTTTTTAAATTTCTGACCAAAGTTGTCTTGTAGAATATGCAAAATGCAGTTAAAAAGTGACTGGATACACTTTTAAATCTTAAATAAGGTGGGGGATGTGGAGTTTGGTTCTTTGCTTCTCTGTAAATTTAGATTACAGCTTTCTGCAGTAGCTGCCTTGAGAAATAGTGTGGAGCTCACTATTAAGAGTCTTTAAGGAAGTTTAGCTCACAGACTTTAACCCCTTAGGTAACACCAGTTGCAGCGTGAAATTTCTTCAGGAGAAATTTTTTTAAAGTCACAAACTTTAAAAAATTGTTTCCTATTTGCAGGCATTCTTTTGGCAGTCATGCCTCCTCATCATTAGGTTTTGACAAACATAAATTTGGGGTGGTAGAATTAACATGTGGCTTAACTACTCATTTTCTAATAGAAGATCTCAGAGACATAGCAAAAATGTTTAACTATACAGGAGTCATATATACTTTCTACCTGATTCTATTTGCAAATGAATAGCCTTTAAAACGTGTTTCTCCTGCTTAATTCCAGTTTAGTCTTCTGAATATCTTCCCCCAGGTCTCTACTTCAGCTTTAGCACAGAGGGCAGACCCTGTTTCTTCTGGTTAACTGCGTGATGAGCAGATGGCAGGAGAGGGTCAAAATCTGCCTTTGATTAATCTTTTGTTTTTTAAATGCATGGCCTACTCAGAAAAATCCAGTCACCCTAATGTTTACCTGTCGTAATATCAGAATGAAGTGGCTGTTCTTTCCCTTGAGCCATCTTTCTGAATGAAGGTTCCTCCAGCAAAAATCACCCACTTATATGATGATTTCCCTTTTCCTTAAGAAATTATTTCATTTCATAGAAAGATAATGAGACATTTCAGGAAGATTTATTTCTGGAAAGGCAGAGGAATAGTTTATCACCTAAAGACTCTCAACCTGAAGCAGCTCTTCTTAAATGAGAAGCCATAGACTGTTCATTGTAAGATTTTAGATGATTGAAAAATTTGACTAAGTGCATTTTGACTTTTATTTCCCTTACCTTTGTTTATGGAACCACCATTTCAACAACCCCACATGCTGATATAAATAATTGTTTAATTTTTAAGAGTATTTAATTGACACCAAGTTATTTATTATATTTTTAAAATTTAATGTTTATTTTATAGTGAAGTAGAGTTGATTTACAATGCTGTGCTAGTTTCAAGTATACAACAAAGTGATTCAGTTATACATGTATCCATTCTTTTTCAGATTCTTTTTCCATATGGGTTACTATAGAATATTTAGTAGAGTTCCCGGTATACACTAGGTCCTTGCTGATTTTCTATTTTATATATAGTAGTGTATATTACTATATATATACATGTTAATCCCAAACTCCTAATTTATCTCTCCTCCACCCCCTTGCCCCTCTAGGAACCCTAAGTTTGTTTTTGAAGTCTGTGAGTCTGTGTCTGCTTTGTAAATAAGTTCATTTCTATCATTTTTTAAGATTCCATATATAAGGGATATCATATGTTTGTATCTTTGTCTGACTTACTACATTTAGTAGGATCATCTCTAGGTCCACCCATGTTGCTTCAAGTGGCATTATTTCATTTCTTTGTGGCTAAACAATATTCCATTATGTGTGTGTACCACATCCCTTCCTCTGTTGATGGACATTTAGGTTGCTTCCACGTCTTGGTTATTGTAAATGTGCTGCAGTAAACATTGGAAGGCCTGTATCTTTTTGAAGTATGGTTTCCCCCAGATACATGCCCAGGAATGGGTTTGTTGAATCATATGGTAGTCTTTTTTTTTTTTTTTAATTTTCTCAAGGAACCTCCATACTGTTCTCCATAGTAGTACAAATTTACATTCCTACCAACAGTGTAGGAAGGTTCCCTTTTCTCCGCACCTTCTCCAGCCATTTATTGTTTGTACGTTTTTTGATAATGGCCATTCTGACCTGCGTGAGGTGATAGCTCATTTTGGTTTTGATTGCATTTCTCTAATAATTAGTGATGTTGCATAGCTTTTTACGTGCTTTTTAGAAATTGACATTATCTAAAACCCAATCGGAAAGACCCTGATGCTGGGAGGGATTGGGGGCAGGAGGAGAAGGGGACGACCGAGGATGAGATGGCTGGATGGCATCACCAACTCGATGGACATGAGTTTGAGTAAACTCCGGGAGTTAGTAATGGACAGGGAGGCCTGGCATGCTGCGATTCATGGGATCACAAAGAGTCGGACATGACTGAGCGACTGAACTGACTGACTGACTGAAAACCCAATTGATTATAAGCTTCTTGTTGTTTTGCAAGAGGCAGGAACTTGCAGTCAGGTGAATTAGGGGTGGAGTATAACTGTCACTTTTTAGTTATATACTTAGGGGGCAAGTTACTTAACCTTGACGAGAGCTTCAGTTTCTTCATTTGCACTATGGGCATAGTAATGCTACCCCTATTAGGGTTAATACAGAAGGATAAAATAGATTCTGTGTAAATAGAGGCTAATGATGCAGTCTATGTATTTGGCACTATGGAGACACTGTGGGAGATTTCAAGAAGGTGAATAGGAGATACTTTTACCTTCTAAGGGCCTTATGATATTTTTGGGAGGGCAGATAAAATAGAGAATCCAAACCAGCTTCGAGTATGGTAAGTATTCTGAGGAGAAAAGATCCAAGAAAAAATAAGTAAAGGCTTGAAAGGGGAGGCTGAGAAGATTTAGAGGAAGGTTCTGAACCCTGGCTCTAATTAGAATCACCTGAGACCTTTAGAAACACACCTGTGTCCTCTCATAGAACAATTACATCAAAATCCCAAATATCAGTATTTTAAAGTTCCCTGGGACTTTTACATGTGGTCCAGATTGAGGATCATTTAAAGAACCTATATACATAGAAGTAGTATAGATATTGATAGGAGGAGGAACATAAGAAAGGTAGAGTTCCTTTTGTTGTCCTAGCAGCTCTGCATTTCAGAAAGTGTAGTAAGTGAAGGCTCTTTGCTAATCCTGTATATATATTTTTATATGCCTATAGTGGATTCTGTCATAAATCTGATAAATCAAATGAGATGAAGGATGTGTTTGATTTTGTGGGTATTTGTGTCTGTGTGTGTGGTATTATTAGGTTTTTGTCTTTTTAAACTCTTAATTATAAATGTTAGCTGTGATGATTGTGTATGTGTACATTTTCAAAGTAGATAAAACATACAAAAACTTTGCATTTTTTAATATGAAGAGGATCTACCATTTAGATTTGGTTTTATAGACAAAATGCGATGATGCAGACTTACCCTGGGTGTTTGTGACACTCCTAATACTCCTATGCCACGGGCATGTGAATAGGTTGCACACCCCCTGATGCCAATCACCTATAA